TTTACTAATACCATCCATGGTTTTAGAATTGTGAGATACATTCAGTCTGGAATTTTCATCTGCATAATTTGGGGCTTTTGAGACTAGTTTAAAATGCAAAAGGAGAGAATAAATATTAGATCATTCCTGATGTAACCTGACTTATTTCTTAGGATTTTATATAAGCCTTTTGTGTTTCAAGGGTACTTTTCTTATTTGTTTTTCCCTAAAACAATCTAAAATAGAGGAAGACTTAATATATCTTTATACCTCCCCTGCGATTTATTCATAAGCTTCTTCATCTTTTTGAGCTGGTCATTAAGGAAAGCAATAATAAGTGATGATGGTCCTGTGGATGCGGCTAGACTGAACAGATCAATGGCACACGCCAGCACTCAGAGGCCGACTGGAAACTAATTATTTTGCTCCCATATGCTGCCACCCAGGGTGCAAATTTACTCTCAGATTTTGCTGTTATTGTTTTTTTTTTTTTAATTAAGTCATTGTTTTTCATGGGTTACTTAAAAATACCGCATAATTTCCAGGCAGTTGTAAAAATAAAACTCATTTAAGATACCTTTTAATATTTCCTATCAATTTATATGTGACATAAAAACTACCAAATCTATTTTCTGAGTAAGAGGTACCAAGGGGTCGTCAATACACAGGATGCCTGGTTGTTGATTTTCCAAACCTTTTGTTCCTCTTCATTATTCTGGTCCCCGTGCCTTTCAGCAGTCCCACTAATCAATCATTAGCTCCTGCCCCAAAGAGCACTTGGAGGGCAGGGGTTAAAGAAGAAACTGATCAACGGTTTGCTTAGTTCTGGTTACAGCTGTGGCTGGAGATGACTTTATAATACTAATCTAATGTAAAAATTTGTTATTACAGAAATTAATTATCCATCTTGTCTAATCTTGTTCCCTATCATCCTAGATAATGAAGTGTTTGTGGGAGTAGAGCTCCTCACACACCAGAGGGTGTAATAAATGTTTGCACTTGGCTCAAGTTGTTATATAATGAATGTGGCACAGTAAATAGAGTTTGTGTACAAAATACTAGTTTATTTCTATGGGAGCCATTCTGTTCAGGATATATATAATGTATCTAATTAAACAATTATGAATCTATTTTGTGCTCTAGAAATGTTCTTTTGGGGGGAAGATGGAAAAAATGTAATTGGAGCTAAGATTAAGCTAAGTTTTGTTGGGGGTTGTTTGTTTTCAAGACTTCCCAGTCATGTAGAAATACTGCTTATCAAAACAGGATTAAATCCTATAAGTTTTAACTGAATTTATTTTGTAAAGTTGATACATTTAAATTGTACATTGCATGAATCATTCTGTTAAACCTGACTTTGTTTAGCTTTAATACATAACTGAGAACATACCTTGCATACTCATGTGAGAACATACCTATGTGACTGAATCGTAAGACCTTTCTTGCAGCCTTTGCTATTAGAGAAAATGGTAAATTGTTTAAGGGGTTAGTTTTAATTCCTTCCAAATGAGATCTAAAAAGGAGTTCTTTAAAAATCATTGGGATGAAATAGCACGCCCAACATTTGAAGCAAACAAAGCCCCATGATTAAGGCAACTTACAGATGATAGTTACCTGTCTGTTACATGCATCTTTCTGTTTCCCAAAACCACTCTCATTTTTTTTCTTCCTTCTCGTCCTGACATAGTGAGGGACAGGGATACACATGTCTATTCTTTTGCACTGTGTCAACTGAGTATGGGGAAAATATGCAATATGTATGCACAATTGCAGGGTAATATATCAATCCTGAAACCCCTGTATTTAGCCTCTGTGGAACACTATTGAATGTTTGTGGATTAAAAATTGCCCCGTAATTACATAGTATTAGTTTCCTTGGCATCTTCAGATTGATAGGGGAAAAAAACCATAAAACAAGAATGTCTTTATTTTCTGCAATTTTTTTTCTATTATACTTTCTTTCTAAATATAAACTAGGGCTATTGTGATGAGAGGATGTTGAGTTTTCAGAAAATGAGGCATAATTCTATTTGAGTTCACCTGTTTCTTCTTCCTTTAAGTTCAATAAGATAAGCAACAACTTAATACTGTTAGAGAAGAATGCTAAAACCATTTTTTAACGTGTTTTTTTGTTTTTGTTTTTGTTTTGTTTTGTTTTTTTTTTTTTGAGACAGAGAGAGAGCATGAACGGGGGAGGGGCAGAGAGAGAGGGAGTCACAGAATCTGAAACAGGCTCCAGGCTCTGAGCTGTCAGCACAGAGACCGACACGGGGCTCAAACT